GGGCAGGCGGCAATGCCGCACAGCTGCTCGCTAGCCCCCGACTCCTCCTCCGTGAAGACCACGAACTTGTCTGTCTCCTCAATGAGCTTCTGCAGCATGTAGGCCCCTGGGGAAGGAGAAAGGGTCAGTGCAAGGCTGTGGGGGGCTGGCTGGAGGTGACGGGGTGAAGCCAGGCATGGCTTTGGGCTAGCACGCACATTGCTGGCTGTGGGTTTCCCCTTACTCCCCTCCCCGCTGTGCTCACCCCCTGAGGAGGCTCTCTCGGGACGGCCGCTGGTGATGGGAGCAGTCACTCTGGCATGGACGGAGTGAGCAGAGAGCGGACCCCGCTTCAGCTTCTTGGCTTGCAGCTGCGTGTCGATTTTCAGCCCCTTCAGGGCCTCAGTGGACAGGTTGCGCTTGAGCACAGCCGCTTTCTTGTAGCCATCGTAGAGGCCAAAGGCGATGTCCCGGTTGGTGGTGGTCCAGGACGCCCGCAGGTCCACCAAGTGTAGCTGGTGGGTGTGGAAACCATCGTCCCCATCCCGCAGGGGCAGCTCCTGGGCACGGAGGGTCAGAGCCTCAGCACGGCAAACCCACCCCCAAGCCCCTGCCCTCACACACAGGGGGTGGGAGCCCTGCCTGTCCCTGCAGGCAGAGTGTGGGGACCGGAGCCCAGGGGACCACCCAGGGGACCACCCGAGAGCCCTCAGCACGGACGCACACCAGGAATGCTGTGGCTGGAACAAGGCGTCCCTTTGGCCAGGCTCCCAAGAGATCAGAGGCCCTGCAGATTTCTCTTCTCTCCAGCCAAATCCCTCCCCCATTGCACCCAAAGACCAAGGTCCCCTTGTCCCAGGGGGATGCCATCAGGCCAGCACAGGCTGCCAACGCTTAGGTGTTTGCAGTGGTACCTCCTCAGCCATGCGGTTGCTGTGCCGCTGGTAGGTGAGGGAGGACAGGCTCAGCAGATGGGTTTTCTTCACCAGGGTGTCAAGCCGGTGGTCAGCATTCTCGTCACAAGTGGAGGCCATGAGGTGCACGGTGACCTGGCTCAGGTCACTCACCATCTGCGTGATGCTCCACTCCGAAATGAGGCGTCGCATCACCGTGCCGGCTGGGGGACAGGGAGAGGGGTCAGCCGGGGACCTGCCCTGCCTGGAAGTGCTGCCGGCAGGGCCCCCACTCACCTTGCGGGATAAGCCGCTGGGTACCACGAGTGAAGATGTGGCCCTGGCAGCATTCCACCTGGATCCCTCGCTGCTGGGCAAAGGAGGCCCAGTAATGCACCTGCAAGGGAGCAGACAGCAGGGGCTGAGAGCCCAGTGCAGGCAGAGCAGGGAGGTAACACCGGACCCCCACCCCCAGGACTTGCCTGCAGCCGGGGGAAGAGTGCAGTATAAGACAACTGCTTGTAATGCTGTCCCAGCTTCTTCTTACTGGGTTTCATGTTGTTGAAGAGCTTCCCGCGGCAGATGGGGCGCGTCACGCTGGTCCACGTGGCCCAAAAGTTCTGCATCCAGCGGAGGGTGCTGCTGTAGAGCAGGATCCGGGGCTGGGAGTGCTCTGAGAATACACCCACCATCAGCCAGCACCATGGGGGCAGGGACACAGCAGCACCCAACCCAGGACTGATAAGGATCGCTAAAACCAGCATGCCCTGCCCTGTCCCCCTCAGCCCCAAGGGATCCCTGGGATGCTGTCACCCACCCTCACTGGGCCGTGTCAGGTCCATCCGGATGGAGAGGTTGAGGTTCTCGGAGCGGAAGGCACGGTAGGAGTCGTACTGCTGCCCCACCGGCACCTCAGGCAGGAACTCAGGGGAGCGCAGCACCACGCCATGGTGGTCATGGGGGTTCCCATGGCACAGCCACTGCAGGTCCAGCGTCATGCACAGGTCGGGCAGGTGCAGGAAGCAGCAGTCATCATACCTGAACAGTGAAAGAGACCCCAGTTACCCACTGGCACTGGTGGCAGCCCCCGCAATCCTGGGCCCCCACTCACTTGGAGGCTGTCCGGACGTTGATGTCCAGGTTGCCTTTGAAGACAAACTGCCCGGGCTTCCAGTGGAAGGAGAGGTGGCTCCACTCCCAGTGCATGTTCTCCGTGGTGTTGTAGGGGTCCTGCAAGGACAAGCATGGGGAGAGGCAGGTGTGACCCAACCCCATGTCACACTCTGCTCTCTACCCTCACAGCACCCACCTCAGTGGCCAGCTGGTGCAGGTTGGCCTGTTCAATGTCCATGTGCCAGTCCCCATGGAAGAGAAGGCGGCTCTTGTCCCACCAGGGCAATGGGGCACTGGGGTCCTCCGAGGGCTTGGTGAGGAGATCCACGCACTGGCCGATCAGGGTCCAGGCCGGGTCCCAGCAGGGCCCCCACACGATGGTGTACTGGGAGATCTCAGCTGAGGACACAGAGGTTGGCTCAGCCTTTGGCACATCCCACGCAGTCCCATCCCCACCCCGGCACAGAGCCCCACTGTCCCTCCAGCTCTTACAGTGAAAGTCGTGGTAGAACTTCAAGGGTGGCATATTCCTCTCCACTGTTGCATCCCCCCAGGGCAACCCCAGCTTCAGGACCTGGCGGCGCCGGGAGCAGGCCTGGCCACACTGCTCGGCTCCGATCAGCCGGCCGGAGAGCTGCCAGTTCCGGATCTCAAAGAGTCACGGATCCGCACTGCAGGGCAGAGGAAAGGCTGAGAGATCGGGCAGCGAAAGGAAACTGGTACCCGACTCTGGGCCACAGCAGAAGCCGCTGTCCTGTCACATCTCTGCTCCCTTCCTGCTCCCTTGAACCCCCAAAAATCATTTCCCCTGCTTGGTTACACATCACATGGTGCCAGCAGATCCCTGTCCTGGGAGCCCAGGCCATGCAGGCACCATGCTGTCCTCCAAGGGCACCCTCACGTGAAGCAACTCACCAAAGAAGCTGCCAACTCTGCCCTTCATCATGCGGCACCACTGGGTGACCATCTCCAGACCCTCAGCAGGGAACGGGCTGACGCCATCCACGTCCCTCATCTGCTCCAACACATGCTCTGTGCCGTGGAAAGATTCGTCGGCCATGGCCACCAGTTCCAGGTGGGCTAGGGTCCAGGTGAGGAGGGCCCTCCGCATGGGTGTGTTGGCATAGAGGCGCCGCGAGCGCTGGATGTAGATCTCAATGTTCTTCTTCTCCAGCGAGGCATAGAGCTCCTCGATCTTGCGAGCAGGCAGCAGCTCGCCGTGCTGCTTGCGCAGCGCAGCCACCTTGGCATCCAGCAGCTGCAAACGCTTGGCGCTCTCCTTGCTCTCATCCTTCATCAGCTCATAGTTGTCTCGTAATTTGACCTCGAAGACATCATCGAGGAAGACCCAAGAGAAATGCGTCACTTTGAACAGGAGGTCAGGGGGCAGCGCCGTGCTGGCGGGGTGCCCGCGCCGATGAAGGCCTTTCAGCCACTTCTGTACACCCACGGCAGCGTCCAGCGTGTGGGAGAAGTCATACTGGTAGGGGAATTCAATGGTCACGCTGGCAAAGGAGAAGGCCCAGCCGCGGTTGCGGAGGGTGCGCAGGGTGGGGAAGGCGCAGCGGTGCAAGATGACCTCCTCCAGCTCTGGCAGCAGCTTCACCTCCACCTCCTTGAAGCTGAAGATGCTGTGTCCATCAAAGCCGGCAGCCAGCTCGGGGCAGTAGCCATGCAGGGCACCGCCGTGCCAGCTCACGGAGGTCCGTTCGGCAGCCAGGCTGATGTAGTTGGCCTCAGAGACAAAGGCTGTGAGCTTGGCAGAGCTCAGCTCCAGTGACAGGGACAGAAGTCTTTTGGGGGGGGTCCCATCTGGCTGGAGGGGCCCCGGTATCTCAGTAGGGGTGGTTGGGTGGGATGCTGGGCTCTCCGGGAGCAGGGAGGGAGGTGTCCTTTGGCTGAGGGCGCTCCGCAAGGCTTC